AGTGTAATTAAATTGAGTGGAAAGATACATAAGTAGCATAGATTTTCTATGTTTTCAGAGCTAACAGTTGGTTATGTTGTTTGGATGTGTAATAAGAAAAACCCATTAAAATATTAATTAACAAATTAATATTAAGCTTAGGTTGAAAACTGTTTTCAAGAAAATGAAAAGAAATACACATCAGTAATAAAATAAATTGCTGATGAAGAATAAAAATAACAAACATTATATGGAGAATAGCTACTTGTGACTTATCTGTATCCTGCACATATTATGTCTGACACTGAGAATCATTGCAGTACAGATAAATGATTAAAAAATGATAAGAATTAAATTTAAGCTTACCTTGAAGATTCAGACTTTCCTTCGCCTATTAAAATGAAAATAAAGAAAACGATTGTTAATAAAACTTCCATTATGTCATTATACTTAACAATTCTAAATAAAATGTCAGTTTTCAAAACAATCCACCAGTTTCGTTAGCCACATATGGAGGTCTTTAATTCTCTAGTGTACACAATCACAAATAGGATTGTTCTTAGAACACATGTTGTATTGTTCCAATATGATCACAGTGGTAATATTGCTACTCCAAATACAACCAGAATCTAGGAAGGTCTTTCAGGATCAGAAGAAATTGGTGCTTGTTGAAGACTGCAAACAAGCAGCCTCAAAGCATCTTATAAAGTATGTATAATTTTGATCAAGTAAGAACAAATTGCAACCATCAATTTGTTCCTGACACCTATCCATACAGTTATGGAATACAAATTAGTTCAATTCAAAAATTGGTTAAAACCATAACTTATTCAAACAGAAAGTAAAGTTGTCACTTAAACACAGAATCAGTTCCCAAGACCACTCCTACACAACACAACCACTAGTTGGTAACATAATTTATCTGTAAATGTTTCCATATGTCATTACTTCATCATCCCATCATTATAAAATAAACGGGAGTCATGGTTGGGGAACCTTCAAATTACCACCAAACTCATCTCCACTCACTAGAAATCGTGTTTATAGAATGTCCTAACTTCATTCATGAAACAATTCTTATATATCAAATGAAGCCATTCAATAGGACTGAACCATTTCATGAGATTCCAAGGGGACGATCTTACTAGTGTATATTGTAGAAACAGAGAACTCTTGGCGCCACTAGAACACATACCCATCTCTAGCAGAAATTTCTACACCTGTCAATGAAATGCTCGCAGGAATTAAAGGTTTCTATTAGATATCATGAATACAGTAATATGTATACTTTGATATCAACAATGTTTATAAACAAACAGCAGTCCACCAATAATTATCTCTTCCACATTTTACTAGAGTAATTATTTTCACATTTCTTTAACTATCTGTTGGATATAAACATCAATATTTTCATTCTATTCATGGCAGTCAATCATATCTAAGTTTCGTAATGTTTTTAAATCTTCATTTTAACGAGACTATTAACATCAGTGGAATTTATAAATACATATGTTATGTACTTCAAAACACACTTATTACTTAAAACATCATTTCTTAAACATATTTACTAATCAAACACAAGTACCTTCAGAAAAAAATCAGAGAAACAATATCTAATTAAGTCTTCTTTAAAGATCAACCTAAAAGGGCATCACTTAAAGGGATAGGTGGGCCATTTTTTTTTACCAATCATACTTTAGTCTCAGAAACAGGAATTTTGTAGCTAAACCAATTAGTTACAGCTCACCATCGAAATTTGAGCCTTCAAATCCATGTGTGTCCAGATTTATATGCGTTTGAATGTTAAAATGCCAACTTGTCAATTTAAGCTACTCTGTGATATATAGAAAAGTGAGAAAAATTGCTAGTTTGAAGTATTTTTAAAGGAATTATGCAATTTTTGTACATTTCTAGTACTTCTGAAGACTATTTACATATATTCAAGATTAAAATCAACCCCCCAAAATGGCACATCTGTCCCTTTAAGTTATGGTTGTGATGCAGCATTTTTTGGCAAAATCTCACAATTCATGAACAGAAAATATTACCATAAAAGTTTCCAATTGTAAAGCATAAGAGTCTAGGAAAGCAACATTTAACATTGAACCTTTCGAAAGATAACAATCATATTGTCTTCAGTTTGGATTCCATAAATTTATGGTTGGAAATTATTAGAAAATTCATAAATTCATTACTCAAAGCTCTTTACAATCTGACGGGACTATACCTTAAATAACCGTGACACTTTAATGGGCATCTTAATTAATTTCTTCATGGTATTTCTGTGGTCAGTTTCCTATCTTTGACCATCAAAATACCATGACTGATAGGCCAGTGTTCTAATGAGTAGATTTTAATGAATTTATGATGTTTTTAGAAGATAATAGTAGAGTTTTAATTGGATTATAAAATGTTTGTAGATGGTAAGTAAATAATTACATGTGTTCTTCACTATCAGACTGATAAGACTACAATATTTACTTCAAGAAATTATTGTGACATGCATTAATTAGGAACTATCTTTTCCTGAATCAGTGGAATGGAACTAGATTCAGTTCTAACAGAAGTTATTGTTTTAAAATTATTCCGCTAAGATCAAATTTATGTTCTTAATAACCTTTTTAGGGTTGTGTTTCTTCACCCAAAGCTGTCCAACACAATGCACTGGGCAGAATCGGTTCCATACTGCAGGTTAGAAGATAACTAGTAAGAACCAAATAAGAATGTGCATCACTAAAGGCCCAAAGGTCTTCAAAGGTAGGAGTACAGCATGACAGGATATTAGCTATTGCTAGGTTACCCATCTGAACACTTGAATACAATTGTCAACTTAGCATCTGACTTTGAGTCCAACACTGGTTAAGAGATATTTTTCCTGTATTTTCATTACAAGGATGGTCATACTAAGAAATAACGAGCCACACAGAAAGATAGTGGACAGTAAATAATATAGTCTTGCCAGCAGCTCTGATAAACACTGGTATCACAATGTGGATTGTGTCAACCTCACTGTTATCTACCAGAAACCTCGTCTTTAATACAGACACCACCCATAAAAAGAAAACCTTCTGTTCTTTAATATAATTATCATTTCAAAACCTCTGGAGAAAAAAAAATTTCAGTCTTTCAATGTACAATATATTTAGTTTATGAGCTGTCAAATTTGGATGTTCAATGCCAAATGATCCTTGTTAAAACCCTGACTAAAAGGCTGATGGTGGGAAACTAAGAGTTTGGTACCACCCAGCCATTACAAGTGTTAAGTATTTATACTATATGATAGTTAAACAGTAATAAGATCTAGTATAAATTGTTAGATAATGTACCACAACTGGTAAGTCTCTAACTTCTACTATCATTGAGTCTCAACACTGTGTTCTTTATATTGGTATCAAGAGAATTAATTGAAGTAATCACGTTAAAAAATGGTTTATCAGACAACAAACTTATCTATTAAATTGGAATGTAATGTTCTTAATGCAGAATAGTTTTTCAGGATATTTTCCTGACACTTTCTGACAAATTTTATACCTTGACAAGGTCTTAACATTGCAGAACATTTTTCATTTGTAGAAAATAATTTGAATCCATTGTGTCTAACTGACAGAGCCACATATTGTCCTAGTATTACGCTCTTGATTTGGCTAATGAAAATAACAAAACTGTGCAGAGAGCAATAAGGAAAATTTGGCAACACAACAACATAAGTCTATTTTTATACACCATGTCCACCTGCAGACTGTAACACAGGGGCCTTGCTTTATTGTCCTATCTGAAAGACTGGATGCTTTCATTACGGATATAAAATAAACATAATGAATAATTTCTGAAAATTTGTAAAATAAGTGAAAATCTATTAATTTTAGACTAGTAAAGTAAAGAAGGTTATCATTGTTAAATATTTATCATCAGAAACCAGAAATACATTCAACCTTTGCTCATAATCTTAAAATTACTGTTTCAAACCAAAACAAACTTTCAATATATACAATACATGGTTTGTACCCAGTAAATTTCCTAGGCCTATATCTTTCAACAAATCAGAAATATGAAATTCAAGTCAATTTATTTATTAGGATAATTGATAAAACACATTGAGGGAGAAACTTCAATGATTTGAAAATAAACAAATAAATTTCAGCTTGACTAATAATGTCATTTCAAGTGAAAATGAGATTGGTAAAATATACTGATAATTTTACACAGAAATTCATCAAATTTCACATTTATCAGGATTTCGCGGCAAACACTCATGAAAGAAGCAGAATGAATCACATGCATCAGCCCACTACAGTCATCTGACAATTTTGGCCATACAGCATAAAGTAATTGGACCTCTTCATCTTCACGTCAAATTAGATGATTCATGGATGTAATAAAATATCTAATTTTGTTATATATTTCTATGAAAAAATTGGGAACCAAAAGGAAATTGCCTTGATTTGTCATTTAGCATATCATATATCAAAATATGTGCACAATGGTAACTCGACAGTCAGTTTCATTCATCCAGGGTGTAGTAATTTGGTCTCAAAAAATTTAGTCACATGGTCAATAGTCACAAGGTAAATTGGTCACCCCATTATAGACAATAATAATTGTGAATAAGTTATTACTGACCATTACCAATTCTATATTTGACCAAATTGCAGGTGCTTAATCTTTTGTGACAAAATTACCAAAATTGAAATCTCCACAACCCTAGGAGGCAAATGCAAAAACTCATTTGAACAAAACAAAGAACAAATCTTATTGTAAATGCTGAAAAAAAATGTTTAAAACCATGAAAAATTTTGTAGATTTGTTAACTAAAGTATCAACAGTAGAAGATCAAAACTAGTAGACTTATAATAACATCTAGACAGGTACCAAGATCTCATCTTTAACATTATCAAAACAAACACACACCAACAGATACAACGCTTAATTTAACTATTTACATCAACTCATCTATCTAATTTCTTTAATCTCTTTTTTACTAGACCTCCATTGTCTGATGTCTTCAAGGTGTCTAGAACTCTTCACCAGGAAGGAGAGAAGAGATGGAATCCTGATGCAATTGGTAGATTATATGTACCATATGGATTTGTGTGGTCTTTAACAAGATCAAGGGTGAGATAATAGATCAAACAATCAGCAGCTGGACACAGCATGAGAGGATGACAGATATACAAAATTCTAATACAACTGCTGTGCTGTCTCTTTTTAACTTCTGCACATATATAGAAGTTTAGAAGATAAAAATTTTAGTACTTTTTCAAACAGGATTTTTGATGAAAGAAATTGGGTCATGCAGTATATCTATTATGCATTTAAGAACCTCCTTTGCATGGTCCTCTTCCAGAAAATGGAAGTTGTGAGCTCTAGGTCAAACTGACCATGAATAAGTTATCATGTCTCCCTGTTATTGGGGAACCTGATGTAAATGTATATGAAGAAGTATTGGCAAAGGACAATTTGGGACAATGTTTCTTTTCATATTTGCACATTAAAAGGAAATGAAACAGTTAAGAGGTTGCAAAACCTGCTTGAACCAAAGCTCACACAAAAAAGTACTTAAAAACAAGCATTCTCAGTAGACGTGAATTTGACCTTGTAGACTGTATATATTATTCAGTATAATCAACCTTCAGATCTTGTCTCTATAAAATGCTCCATTACTTATTGTAGGGTAATAAACTTCTTTTTATATTTAACGGTCAGTTTCACATGTAAGTTAAGTGAGATTGGTCATTCTGTAGAGAACAATTATGTCTTATAATTTACATTTACTCTCTCTTCTTATCAGATAATACTATAAACAGACCACAGTCCACTCATGTTTTTATCATCAGAAAACTTGATGACAAAGTTTAATTACCTACAAGCTTCTAAAATATAAACTCACTTAAATTGTGAGAAAGAATCAAGCAAGCTATTAACGACCAATATCTCAGTTCTTAATTCTCAATCTCTTTTTATACATGACAAACCAACTTTAAGTCACTATTTTCATTTTAAATAGATCTCTAGAGTTTCCTAAGTTTCTATGTTTCTATCTATTTCAACTAGATCAATGTCTTAAACCATGTCAAGAAGTATATTTGATATTTAATGGAATGTGTATAGGTATTTATCAATCATACTCAAATATCAGTCAAATATCTCAATATCAATTCCATACATTGTTTTATACATATATACAACACAATATCCTCCATGATAGATACTTGATACTTCCTAACACAAATCAAAACAAAAACCTTTCTAACAACAAGTAAACCATGAGCCATACATCAAAATACAGAATTAATACTCAACTCAACTGACATTTCTGTTATGCACTTAACACTGAATATTACTTAAAACATTAAATTTTTGCAATATTATCATCAGAAATGTGAACTTCAGGAAAAGATTTTGATTTTTCTACCATCTATTTGGCATTTTGAATAAGTGGTGTCAATGTATCATTGGCTGTTTTAAATCATCTGTTTTATTCGAATCAACAAAACTAACAGAAATCAACAACAAAGTTGCAAAAAAATACTAATGGCCCTGATTTTCTCAAGTCTCAATAGCATCTTCACCATATCAAGCTATTACAAAGTGCATTTAATACTTTGACTGAAATAGTCATCCTTCTGGTAATCACAGAAGTTTTTTAATGCAGCAATTTGATTGGATTGTACCCTAGCGAATACAGCCAATGTTAGGCCTCAACAGAAAGACTTAAACAATTTGGCTGAGGGTTTAATCAGGAGGCTGTGATTGACTTTAAGTGCTAGTTTTCAATCCAATTAAATTGCTGCATTAACAATCTTCTGTGATACGAGAAAGACGGCTATTGCAGTCAAGGTATTAGACACAGTTCTTGATAGCTTGACAATGGGAAGATGCAATAGAAGATGATGTCCAAGTAATTGGCACTTACCACTTAAAAGATAAAGATGAGTTGTTCTTGAATCTTTGGTATATCCACCATGAGGATGATTATGTGCCTCACAATTATATTTAGCAGCTTCTGTGACATTGATAGTATATTCATCTTCTACTATGGGTGGTGTTGTAATATTAACATAATTTGTATTTTCAGAATGACTTGGAATTTTTTTCTGTACCTAAAACATTAAATAAGTAATTAAACCAAAACAGTTACAGCAGATTCATCTTTCAACTGATGGGAAATTGTGGCTTCGGTCATGCTTTTACCATGCCTATTATTATACCTCAATGAGGTGGTCTTGCAATTTTTAAAAAAGAACTCTTTATGGCAGCCTGGTCTGTATCAAGAATCAAACACTTTATCAAGACCTTGTGTAAAAGGGACTTTGTTGGTTATTAAGTGTAATTACCACTTGATCATCTTTTTTCCACTCTAGTGTAGGCGTTGGTATACCAGCAACAGTACATCTGATTACAATAGTAGTACCAAATTCTACCGCTTTATCTTTGGTCAATTCCACTATTTTAGCTGGTGCTACAATTATAGTTGTAGAATTTAAATGACATCAAAAATGAATATGATCCATTCTACAACAATTGACAATTGATATATTAACTAATCATATAACCAGATTGTGCCAACTTCATAAAAACAGGAATTGTCGCTAAAAGACAAAGTTCTTGATGCCAAACAAAATGATAAATACATTAATGATTAAAATAAAAATTCACGGAAATTCATATATGGTACAAAATACCTACCATGCACAGCTAGTGTCACTTCTTTAGATTCTACCGCTTCCAGTCCATTTTCAGCACGGCATTTATAGGTACCTCTATCTATTACATTGACTTGAGTAAATCTCAGATGACCAGATTTAGGCGATATTCTGTAAAAATTATTCCTGCCATGCTTATTCATCTCAACTCCATTTTTAAACCATTTAATTTTAACAGGTGGATCTCCTTTAGCTTTACAATTAAATGAAAATCTTCTTCCCATTAACACTACTCCACTTTTTGGTGGTCTTACTATCTGTAAACCTGAAACGAAACATCAAATTGATTATTTTTTATTGATTGTTTGGATAAAGCAAAAATTCAATAAGTTTGAGAGGATAGTTGCATAAGCTTAAAAGTAAGTAACATAATTGATAAATTCTTGAATGCAATGGTCATCTATGATGAGTTTTGTTTCACAGTTTTGTTGTAAGTACATGCTCTTTTTCTCAATGTTGAATCACACCAAATTCTTATCACAGGATATTTTGAGGAACAGGGTCCTTGAACTCTACAATTGTCACATAAAAACTTTATATCAATATCAATTTTTAATAAATCTATATTATATTTTTTTTTAAATCCTTGGAAATAGGATATTTCATTTTATAGAATTTTTTTCTAAGAAGAAAAACAGATTGCTGGAGGTTCACAAATTCATATTTTGGAAAAATTGCCATCTGTGAATATATAAACATCACAGAAAGCATGTGGGAGTTCTACCATAACTTAATAAACAAATATCTAGAATTAAAGGTTATTTTATTATTACTCAGATGCAATTTCAAATTATCTTAAAGACTGCTGATAACTCCAACTAAACTGTCATCTTTACTGATAAATAGAACGTTTTTTCATTACAAAGCCTTAATGTTTCTTAGTTGGAATTATTTTGTTTATTTGTACATGGAAGTAGCAATTTAACTATTGAGAAGATGTGCTATATAATGATAAAGTATCTATTGAAATAAAACACTAGACAAATTATGTTTAGTGTCTTTCACAGTAGCATTCCAATACTTCACTTCTTGAAATTCTCTAAAATAAGGTGCTGAAGTTTCAGGCCAGAAAGAGTTACGTCCCTTTAGTCTTCATTATTTCAGAAGCAGTGGTAAGATATTGAATGTAAACCAAATGAAATTATATGAATGGAGTTTAACATCCTACTTTTCTGCACCATGTGGGCTAACAAAAACGGGCAATGCCATGCAGAGTGCAATGAGGGAAATTTTGTCAGGGCAGCATTAGCCTGTAGAATACAAAAGCCTCGGGGTTTATTGTCCCATCTGAACAACTAGACGCTTTATCCATGTCAGCCCCTCTTATCTGTATCACTGACAGGGGGAAACCGGGTTGAAAATTCCGAAGGTATTATCTCGACCTGTGTCGGAATTGAACCTTCAGGTTAGCAAGCATGCGTCTAACTTACTGAGCCACTGTGGCTCCTGAATGAAAACCTAGGAGAAAACAACATATATATGCTGTACAAAAAATGAATAATTCTTTTCACTGTTTATCACTCAATACATCAACTGTAGAGCGATATAGAAATATCAAAACAGAACCTAAAAAAAAATATATAATGTTCTTTTAGGTTCTGTTTTAATATTCCTATTATGCTGTAGTATAAAGGATCCACAATGATCAGCTGTTCTGCACATTGGACGATGGAAATCAGTATGGTAGCCATCCAATATATTGTTTGCGCTCCACTTTTCTTTTTAAAAAAAAAACAATCAGTCCAAGAGTTCCTTTTCATTATAGTCATATTTCTAAGAAATGGTTTCCTATTTATCTCAAATTAATAACTGGACACAAGTATATGGATAACAATTACTTCAATAAAATATCTTGCGATGTTTCCGTGAAGGTTCTTCCATTTATCAAGATTTTTAAAAAAATATTGCCAAGATGTTTTTTTAGTAAGTCCTTTTAATCTTAAAATGATTAAATCATGACAGAAATTTCTTTAAAAAACTGTTTGATTAAAAAAAACAGTATTGTACAGTATTGCCTTTTCTGTATTACTTATCACTATCGATTGTAAATATCAGCTGATTCACCCCTTATATAGGTCAAACATGCATAAATTATGACCAAAAATAAGTCAAGAATGATTCTTTTATCTATTAGAATTTCAATAAGTTATTTCTTAGATAGTTGTATAATATAAAATAATGGACATAAAGAGTCATAGGACATAATGGTTTAAAACTTGATCTTCTCCGTCATTTTCTTAAAACACGACAAGAATAATTGATCTAATATATAGAAATAAAAACAAATTTTAACTTGACATTTACATGAAAGCCTGAAGGAATTTTTTGTTAAAATGTAAAGACATCTATAATGTATAGGTCTGCATTCATATAGACATTATCATGAGTAAATATAAATTTGTCTGTGACACAAGTTAAAAGCAACATATATTAAGATTCATTGGATTGCAGTGGTAGGTTCTAAGGGATCACTGAATGAATGGACATTTCAATGATAACGCATTAAGGATTTGAGGCCTGTCTGATCAAGACAATTTTGTCAGGTTACATTTCAAAAGGTTAAAGAGATAAATGCACCATTGTTTTTGAACAATCATACTTAAGTCTAATAAATGCCTATTTTTTAGTTAAGCCAATCAGTAATAGTGTTCAAAGCTCACCATCGAAATTTGAGCCTTTAAATCCATGTGTGTCCAGAATTATCCGTGTTTGAATGTTAAAATGATGACTCGTCATTTTAAGATACTCTGTGATATATAGAGAAGGCATATATAGAAATAGTGAGTAAAATTCTTAGTTTGAAATTTTTAGACGAATAATGCCATTTTTGTACATTTCTAGTACTTCTGGAGACTATTTACATATATCAAAATCAACCCCCCAAAATAGCCCACCTGTCCCTTTAATAATCAAGTACAACTATTTTGAAACTCGATTGGTCAATTGTCTGCATCTCTTTTCAAGAGTTTTCCTGACTGATAATGTTTATTTGGTTTATCATTATGCATGTGTCAGCAAGTTAGAGAATGCTCTCACATCCATGTGAATTGCCTACACAAAATTTAAGTCAACTACCTACTTTATCACATAAAGTGTTACAGCACAATAATTCAGGTATAAATTAATCTGGTGACGATTGTAAAATATGTGGGGAATGTTAATCCATTCAAAGGATTAACTATGTAATATGATACATGATATATACTATACATAATACAATAACTTTGCCAAATCAAAGCATTAATTTTGTGTTCTCTGAACTTTTTGATATTTCATGAACATTTATCTTATATCTTGGTAAAAGATAAGTTTAAATAAAAATGTACTGAAAATTTGAAACCGTGAGAACCTACATGTGCTTATCAATAAGTTGAAGAATTTGCAAAAGCATAATTTGCAACACCTGTATTTTCAAAGTTAAATGTTAATCTTCGGTTAAGTTACAAACAATAAAGCACACTTTTTGCTCAAATGTTTTCAGTTACACAAAAAATTCCAATTAAAAATTAAAATCTTTTCTGAGCCACCATGAAATTAAATTTGACATAATTAAAAGAGGTATTCAATTTAGTCATGGGTGGTATCCCCACTGAATTAATTCAGACAAGTTTGGCGTGAAATCAGAACACATGATTTTATTTATAAAAATCTTACACATTTATTTTCACGAAGAAGTTTATATAGATGATAAAGAATAGTAAATAATATTTTGTAAAGATAAATAATAATATTTGGATCGTACAGGTGTTACTTTATTAATCTATTTTAAATGTAAATTAATATTTGAAATAACACCTGGAATTTGTATCATATCATGTGTTAGCCATGTACCAAGTTGACATCTTTCAAATATTCCAAACTTGTCATTTTCGTATTATCTACACCTTATTTTATCTATTTGTACAATGTAACTTGACTATATTGTAAATTGAATATATAACAAGCCATGTTCGCACTACAGGTTTAAAGCAATGATCTAAGGATTTATAGACAAATTTAAATAGGTTTTCACAAACAGATATCTAATTACTATGCGGCATGCTTGTGCTTTTGTATCCTTGTGTACTTCACCAATATTCTTTTGGCTGTGAGGACTATTGACCTTGACCTGAGCAGGTTTGCAAAATTCTGAACAGATTGCAAGCTGTCAAATTGTTTAGCCAGTATCATCATGTCAGCATGTTTATCATTGGGAGAGAATTTTTGATGAAGAATTAATTATCAGTTGTAGGTGTGAAACAGTGAAAACCACTGCAATCTATTGACAATTTTTGGCATTTTTAACACTAATATGAACTACATATTTCTAACTCCATAATCATTGACCCCCTTTAAGAGATCCTCAAATTAGGTCAACAATGAGTAAGGTACATGTATAATTTCTACCCTAATTGTATTCACCTATTAAACATATGTAGAGCAAGAATATTAGTTAATAATCATGTAATCCCTGTGTATATCACCTATTAACTAGATCAGATAATATACAAGTAGATAATGACCGACACATATAATATCATTATCATTTTAACAGTGATTTCAATCAGCATGTTTATATAACATACATACACAAATTCTAATAATTGAACTAAATATTTCTCATAACTCAAAATGCTGTCTGGTGGCTTTATGATAATATAATCATTTACTGTTGAAATGTATCACATACAAAAAGTTTAAGCCTCAGTAGAATGTGCAAAATTCAATAACTGTCCATCAAAGATCATCAATAGATAAATCAAGTACTAACGATCCGAACCACAGAAAAATGAACTCCGAATCAAATGGGAGTAGCCCATTACAATTAATTTGTTGCTGTTGTTCATCTTTATAAAAGTTTGAAAACAAATGGCTTTATCTCCTTCAATAATGGCTTTTTATGTTTTTTTCAATCATCTACATCTGCACCATTTTCAATAGTTGAACTTCTTCTGATTTTTCTGATTTTTGGGTAAATTACCTATCAAAAGCCTTGGAGTGCTGCTTATAACTTTTTTCTATGTATAGAGAAATGCTGATATTTAAATCTCCAGTGAATTATCAAACCAATTCCTAAATATCAAATCTATTTTGAAAATAAACAAATGGTACTATCAGACATCATCAATCATAAAGCATGATTCCAGCCAGAATCTGACACTGTTGATGATAGTAATGTATTGTGATCTATGTATCTTTATGTCTTAATCAAGTTGAAAACATTGCTACAATATGATAAGGTGATGATATGATAATTAGTTTACAAGTCCACTTCAAACACCTAACCTTGGTCCTAATGATAAAAACAGTGCAGATTTCATTACTATTGTATTCTTAAGTTACATATATGACGCAATCATTTTAAATAAAATAAAAACAATATATTTCATGTCATGTCCTGAACAATTGTACATTTTATTACCAGGACTTACAATAAGATGTTTTTCTTCTTTAAGTGATTATCTTACAGGATATAACATGTTTGGTTTTAAATACAATGAAATAAATGATAAAATGTGACATTTGTTTAAATACACCTATAGGAGATTAATTAAAGGGCATACCACATTTTTTGTAGATCGAAACTTTTTTTTGCTCAAAAATGTGAAAACTATACACCTTTAACATATCTGAAAGTTTTAACTAAAAATATCCAGCCTTTAATTTATTTCGACAAAATATACTACAGAACTTCTGACTGGTTGACCTTTCTTAAGACCTTTATTGTCATTCTAATTCTGATAAAAATATTGTAAATAACTGCATGCAAGCATATTGAAAACTGCATGAGAAATACCACAGAATAAACTATCGTAATATGTTTTAGTTAATTGAAGCAAAACCAAACATAGCATTCTAATTCTGAAATGTGGTATGTATATTTGAATTTGATATTGTGTCAGCTTGTAAAGGTAATATTCATCAAAAAGACAGAAATAACTGCATATATCTAGTAGTAGTGAATTGTTGTGTATTGTTTTTATCAATTTAGTGATAACTCGGTCAATATCAAGATTCATTTTAATCAACAAGTGTTCTGAACTAATCTACTAAATTAAAAGGGACAAAAAACAACAGAAAAGATACTCATTAAAACACAATCCTGAAAAAATCTGGTTATGCACTTTCAAGAAAGACCCTTAATGGGAAACAATACTCTCTAACTAGAGGCTATGCATATATGCCTGTGTCTGTGCATTCGTAACATTACTTCACCGCAATGTTACAATCTAAAACTCCTAAATGAGGTTTGAAAATGAGGGATAAATTTTTATGTTATGATTTTCAGGCTTTTTAATCAAATCTATAAAATAATATTCAACTTTAATTACTTGCTTACTGTCAGATTGATGACAGAATCCAAAAGCAGTACATGGGAAAACCAGCCCTGTAGCTAGGTAGGGGGCTGTGCCCCATGAAAGTGAGAATTAAGCCCCAGCAAAACCTTCTTCAGTTCAGCAGCTGTGAAAAAAGCTTGGGATATCAATAAAAATCTGTCTTTTCCTAACAAAAATTCATTCGTTGCAGTTAGTAAGTTTTTTTACTAGAGGACATGCTTGGTGACAATAATGATTTTCAATGAAAAAGTAAAATTCTAATAAATAACTCCACAAGTCTAGTTTTCTATACATAAGGTCCAAAATCTTAATATTGTAACATAAACCATTCTCACCATGTAGGTTTTATTTCTTTATTCAAATACTACATTATTACACAGTCTACACTGCCCCAGGCTTAACCACCCACTACCTTTTCTTATCTTTGACAATTAAAATTTTCTTTTCAAGGTAAGGTAAATGTACAATCATCTTCAAAATTATTTAGCCAAGTAAATTAGACAAATATGGTACCTATAAAAGCCAGGTATTGCCAGAAATATCTTCAAAAAGAGTAATTTTAAAATCAAATACTCAGGTAAAACTGAATTAGTCGAAATAGTAAATTATTTAATGTATATCAAAAAGTATATGAACAAGTTTTTTTCCCAAGCGAATAACACCTACCCTACCTCACTAAGTACATGGTGTGAGGTCTAGGCTTTGATAAATCTGTATTTGACATTAAAGGAATACTACCTCTTAAAATGGACATAAAATTTAGTCTCAAACTTTGTAAATAAGATTCATCAGCTGGACTTACCAAGTGTCATGACTAAATAACAGAATCTCTATATATGATGATATATACATTAAACTAAGTAATCATTGAAAAACGCCTCAAAGCATGTTTCAAAATTACTTAGTTTAAAGAATTATTACTTAGTTTTATGGATTTATTGGATTATAGCGGGCTTCCATTGTATTAACACCAGGTAAGCCCACTGATAAAAAATGACTCAATTTTGCCAAGTTAATAAATTCATTCTAAGAGGTATGATACCTTTAAAGAAGTGTGTAATTTTGCTGTAGAGTATGTAGAGTTACTGTCACACAGTGCTCCCTGACCTCATTTTTCACTGTCTCTACTATCTACCACATTTAAACTTTCAAAATTTAACTTGTTTAAGATTCAATATACCGAATATTTCTTAACATTTTTTGTTTATACAGTTTTTAAGTCTGCACGTTATAAGCCACCTTAATTCGTGTCTTTGATCTAGTGACATTATAAGGAGTTAACAGGTTTTACCTGTAAATAGTTATACACTATATAAAATAGGTCTATCTCTATTTAACTATAATAACCTAATAGAGAAGTTTTATCAAGATTATCAGTATGTCATACATTGTTCTATTTTGTTACACATCTACATGGTTAACAGAGGTACACACTTATTAGGGCATTTCTTAAAAGACCAGTAATCGAACCAACCCTAAAATAAATGTATTAAATTCTTTCTACCTACCCTTTTCTTCACCGTAACACGACACTGTAAATAGAAGTACTCCGATCATTGTTATAATCATAGTTTTATATATCTTCATTTTCACCTGAGAAAATTCCACCTGTATTACTTATATCTCGATATCATGGACATTTTTTACACCACAGGTGATAGTTTATTTCACCTAACATCCTCATGTATATTATAACTCTTCTGCCACTAAACCATGTCATCGACCTCGAACTTGTGTCACACTGTCACCATTTTCTACATGCTCCACTTCTGATAACATTCAGTTCTTCTATACTCCTTTATGTTCTCCCGTATTGTATATCCATATTTATTTCCTTATTGTATGTTTCACCTGAAGATGTCACTAGTAAAATATTTATTAAAGAAGTTTTGACAGTTCCCGCTTTCATATACCACAAGTCATATAACTTGGCAGACGAAGAGGTATACATATAAACGACCTGCGCAGACCAGTTTTTATCGAAGCATTACTGCGCATAACAAACCCGCATGTTTTAACGAGATCAAAGTGAGTGCTCCGTTATCATCTCACTTAAAATAGTAACTTGTGCACTTAATAAAGCTTGTCACGAATTCATCTATTTGTAAATCACCGACGAATCCAGTGTCTAAATTGTGAGCGAGAATACATCAATATTGTTACATTGTCACAATGTATTGTATCGTGTAATATTCCAGCTAAACACAACAGTATATTTCTATAATATAATAAACCACTTGGCAAGGAATAACGGTTCTGGTAATCATTGTACACCTTAGTATTTCACTATTATTCTTTATAGATAAGTGCTATGTAGATGCTTAGCCTACTCTCAGACCACAGTGAGTTCAGAATTGAATGTTTTTCTCTCATGTGTTCCGGGTGGGGGTACATTTGCCCTCTTGCCTCCCTCTAGTTAAGGGTCTGAATCTGATAGATATACGATATATAGAAAGACATATGAATAGTTCCAATATTATCCTCACTTTCGTAGGGTAACTGTAAATGCATGGGTTTTGTTAATTGTGAACGAACATGACCCCCGAAGTAACACAAACCTAAGTGTCACATAGAAGGCTATCTTAGAATGAACATAAAATTTAAGAAATTTAAACTTGGCCAATAAGAGCATATATTCATCAGTAGATATACCTGCTGTCATGAATTACATAACAGGATCCTTAAATAAGGTGATAAATAAAAAATAAACTCCATAAAAATGCAAATAACTATTGAAAAACGCTTAATATTAAGATTAAGCGTTTTTCAATAATTACTTAGTTTTATGAATCTTCTAATTTTCCAGATTTTACAGGGATTTTGTTGTAACTTTAGGACACCAGGTAGGTTTACTGATGAATATATCATTATATTGACCACTCTTGATAACTTAAATTTTATGTTTATTCTAAGACGTAGTATCACTTTACGTTAGTAATTCGTGTTTCCGACGCAAGTCACAGAATTTCAGAAATTACATGTAACAATCCCTTTAATTAAAATCCTGGGAAACATTCTACAATATCAAACGTGTAAACTATCATGGATTTGTTATTAGAATTTGATATATTTGTAGAATCTGATTAAAAGATTCTCACTAGAACCACCATTTAGAATTTGATCAAAAACAGGCGGCAAACAACGTGATACAGATAACCGAAACGGATCGGTGAAATCGAGATTGCAGAAACGGCTAAATATTCCGCTTCACTTGGTAATCAATTACTTTTACAGGAACAATTATTTTCATATAAATTGGTCTATCATGATTTAGATTTTCCACCTTGAATTATCTATAATAAGTGGAGAATTAATGAGAACTTGTTGACATATTGGAACGCCATGCATGTTAGAGGTTATCTTTGATTCTTGCTTCATTTAATTTCCTCTTAACAACCCCTGATAATTTCTTCTACAGTTATAACAATGTAGTCAGAAGACAGTTTCCCAACGCTTTTGGCATTTTGAATTAAATATGAGCAATTCAAATACGCAACAACAAAGAGAGAGTCAATAAAAGAAATACTATAAACTTATAAACTTAAAACATATAAACTTCCAAGTATACAATTCGTAGTTTTTACCTTCTCTGTAGGCCAGGTATTTTTGGTATTATGGTAAACAAGGGAGGGTTACATTGATAATTGTCCATAATGTAAGATACGGTCCTTATGCGAAAATATCAGGGAGTTCACCTATTCCCCCACATGATCCACCAGAAGCCCATGTTCTGCTCCGTGCGATCATCGGTGTGTGAACGCATTGTGATCCCATTAATCATTCATTGTAGGTACTCTATATATGCCTAGGTCGTCCAAAGGAGGCAGATATAAATAGCGACAGCTTACATAATTTACTACAATGCTTGTACATTCTTCCGATCTACTTCTGATAACGAACTGCATTGTTTCATCTTTTCAAGGATATGTTTAGTCGAATATAAACGGCGGTGGGGGAACATTGCATGGTTTCTATGGGGCCGACTCCTTTGGATTTCCAAAAAGACTTATCGAATTCTAATATCGCACACGGTCCCATTTCCGCGCCTAATTGGGCTAATAACGAGCAACTTTATGTAATGAGCCTAAAGAAACCCTTTGCCAAGGCATCCATATAAGCCTACACAATTTCCAATTGTCAGGGGATTTATTTGTAGCACAAGGTGTAGGTTAAATGTTCTATCAGAATATCATTAAAACAATTGAGAGATCAAAACCTACAGCGCCCAAACTTCTGGTAACTGAGCTATCCATCAGGATGTCATATGGATGCCTTAATGTATACAAGGCACAAAGTCCTTCTACATTTGATACGTTGATTAATCAAACAAAGCTTTTGGCACCATATTCTTAATGTTAGAATCTTTTGATTATCAAGTAATTTTGTTAATTGGAACTCCACCAAATTACTGTTTAATGATTTACCTTTATTACTTTATAATCTAATGTACTCAATACTAGAGAAAAATTAATAACATTTATAAGTGACCTTGAGTTCCCTCTAAAATAAATGAAGGCCTGCTTTGTTATAACTCCTAAGGTCCTTTTAAGTGAATTCTTTTACTTCTCTTTGTACATTTTATATTCAAAATGCATATCAAGAGCAATTTGAGGATCCCTTTTTAGCTTCAGGTATCCTCATATTATCAGACAAAACAAAAATATTGTTTTACTTATTTATTTAAGGGAATAGGTTGTACATTAATATGTTCTTTAATTTTCATTACACATTTTAATTCAACACAATCTGCTTTTATCCTTTTCTTCTTTAGAGAGTTTTGGAATAGAATTTCAACCTCTTTTCAAGTACAGTGATCTCTTCACAAGTACAAAGCCAGCAGGAGTTATTTCCCATTTATCCATGGCATAAAGCCAAAGGTAGTCCTTAGACCTCATCTTTGACATTCAGTCTCCACTAACAGCATACTGAGATTTCCACATAAAAATCTTATCAGCAGATGCAGTAAGTAAACAAGTTTCTGTAGGATGGTATGATAAGGAATGGATGGCACGGCTTGTTTTATGGTCTAATTTTTCTACCAATTTAGCCTACAAATAAAAAGACATAAACAGAAAATATTATAATGAATTTTTAATCAACAAAATGGGACATTCAAGTTCTTTTTTTCTTTTAAATCCTTTTTGAATCCAGTGAGACTTATTCAATATTTGTGATTAAATCATGAATTTTTCAAATGTTAGTAGAATCTTTTCTTGCTATGTCTTACAAGTTATTCAGGCAATTTAATGCTAGCTATCATTACAATGTACTGGTTGTTGTTTCTGAAAAAGAAGAGTATTATTTCTGCTAAACTTACATCAACTAGATCCCAAATATAAACTAAACCATCCTCTGAACCTGATAATATGTGGGTATCTTTACTGTTTAAACTATTATCTATTTTATATTCCTTGTTTTTATGACCAGTATACCTGAAATGTATAAATCATTTAAAATAATATTTATTATCATAATATGCTGATACAAGTATAATTCTGATCATAAAAAGATAACATGATAAACAAGGAAATTCAGATTTTAACAAAAGGGACGCAACTCCTTAGAAAAACACTGGAAACATTGTCTACTTTTTCCAAAATAGGACAATCCAAGCATCAAATCGGAAGAGGTTAATAACTACATGAATATCAAATCCTCATTTAGAGAACCAGTTTTGAAAATTAGGTTAACTTTAAAAAATATGACTTTAAATTTGGTAAATGAAAACTTGAAGATTATCAAAACTTACTCATTTAATAACTCTCCATTATCTTTATCTATTAAACGTAGAGTATTATCTAATGTACTAACTAATATACATTGAGCATCTCTAGTAAATGTTACACATGTGACAGCATCTGTAATGAAAATATAGTGAGTCCACAATTGATGAATAAAAACAAATAGTCTTAATTGAGTTCTCTTGGAATTATTCTACCATCAAATCAATAAAAGACCATAATGATAATAACATCTGCAAGGGACAATGAAAATGATAAGTCGGTTTTATATACAACAGTTAAAGCAGTTGTTATAATTCAAGTGATTGGGTAAATTGAAGGTCAACTGGACATTATGTTTTCATTTGGAAAGTGATAAGGGATATCCAATTTAATCTTTATTCAATGTTTACTAACACTAGGCGCTGTCAATACTTACTACCAATAAAATCAGACATCATTTTCCCTATCCTCAAATCATATCTTCTAACATGACTATCACCACATCCAGATAATATTTCATGATCTGATACTTGTAGAGATGTGATACTGTCTTTCGCTTCATCTAATATCTGAAAATATAGAGGTCTATAGTCTCAGTGTTAAACTTGTATCTGCATCATGAAATTATTCATTTTGCTTGAGATGAATCTTTCTTCAAGTTGTATCCCAACTCCACTGGAAGCCTAAAATGTCCTATACTTTAGAAAAAACTGAACTTAGGACAAACTCATTACTCATAGGAAACACAGGAATTCCGTCTTAATTCAGTACATAAAAATGTAATTACCTGTACAGGGTCATGTTTCTTAGATCTTGTATCCCAGGCTCTAATAGAACTATCAATAGATCCTGATAGAATTACAGTCGATTCTTCATTAAATTTTACACAGTTTACAGTTCCTATCATAATATATAAATGCATGGTAAAAAGAATAGTGTTAACATTGTTTTCATCAGTAAACTGAAAGTCTTCAAAAGTTCTAAAAATCGTTTCTTCCACAAGCAGAAAATTTCATCTATCTCTGCAGTATGCAATATTTTTTAGAACCAAATTTGTATGTCCACCTCAACTTTAATTTAATATGAAATGTGCTTCTATAACCAGCAGAATGTATCACACTCAGAATAGGCACCATTTTGCAAAGTCTAATCTCACTGTCTCAAACAAAAGAAATCATTTTAACCCTCAAACAGTATATCTATATTGCATCTGTTAATACAAACCTGCATGTCCTCTGTACGTTCTTAAAGCTTTCCCTGTCGCTACATCAAACAGTCTGACAGTCTTATCCATTCCAGCAGAACATATCTGACTATTATCACCACTAGACTGTGCATCAAGAACTTCGTAACCATGTCCTTGATATGATTTTAACATAACATCCCGATGTGGATTCCATAACTTTATAGTTTTGTTACTACCACAAGTTAAACAATAACTACCATCAGCTGAAAAATAATAAACTTCTGAATTAGTGAGATTATGAATTACACTTAGATGAGAGGCTTTACTAGGATAAACAGATCATTGCATTATTCTCAGAAATAGATGTCATGTCACATAGTGTAGAAACTTACAACAGGATTATTCTCTGAACATTTTAAGTCAAGCAAGGAATAAATTTTGCCCACAGTAAATTTTGTTTGTTTAGACTACGGTACCCTAATAATGATAAATAATTGCATGTAAAAAGGTCTGTAACAGTGTATGAAATGAAGTGTACCATTGAATCGAACAGCTCTTACTGCTCCCTGTTTACAGTCAACAGTTCTAATCAACTTTACAGGTATATCGGAACACATTTCAAGACTTTCTTCAAGAGCAATCTTCTAATTTCTGTTCTTCAACCATTACAATAATTGTGCCTTCCATTCAACCATAGAACTGTATGAATCAACCGTCAAAACATAGAACATCTATGATCAAACCATGCGATGATGCTACCGTACATTTGTAAGAATGTGACAAAAACATAGAAAACGAAAATACATATCATCACACGTTATAGTGTCACGCATCACGCTTCTGATACAATGTCACCAATTATTACTAGGTAGGCTACCAATCATAATCAATGCAAACTATTTTTCATTGATATAAACAATGATAACATTAGACATTTGATTTTAATGTTTGTGTAGGAATTATTTCTTAAAATTTTCAACAGTAGTGGCGATTCTATGAAATCTATGATGGAGGGGCCACAGAATTATCAATGGGGCCAAACAATATCAGGCATTTTAGAACTCAATGATATAAATATGAGGGGGTGGGGGTGAGCAGGGTCAGTAAAACTTTAAGGGGCTGTAGGTTTCATCTCCTGCTGCTTTGCACAATGTTTCATATATCAAGTCATCTTATAGGAATCACTGAAAACATTGGTTAACTTATCAACATAAGGCTTCATTGGCGTATGTGATTTCTGAGGAGTCAGATTGTACTCACCTTCTGAATAATTGATACAGAGATTTTTGAGGAAAGTAATAATATACAACTGTCTGTAAGTGTCCAATTTAATTGACTAATGCCCAGTCATTGTAGCAAGTTAAAAATCTTTAATTTAGGATGAAATGTTGTCAGTGGCATTAAGAAATTTATGCTCTCTTTGTGCTGATGAACCTTTGGCCATTGTCTAAGATTCAAATCTTAGGATGAATTTTGCTCAGAGGTATAAAGGTATTACAAAATAGGCAAGGGTGATATTCAAAGTTTTGGGGGTGAGATGAAATCAGTCTGTGTATAGACCTATCCACACATGTATTGTTAGGGGGTGAGCTGAATTCAGAAAAGGGTAGAAACCTCTCGACCCCTTATTGTATTTTCATTGTGACTGCAGACATCCCAGGATTCACCTCTTCTTGTTGTCATGTCAGCAACATAACAGACAAGATTTTTCGTCGGTGACAAATTTGAAAATGTCACTTATATTAGGTATGTTTTTCAGTCATTTGCTTTTTTGTGTTCTATTTAACCCTTACTATATGTTAAAGTTGACTGCAATTACAATTGCGTAGTATTTTGAATTCATAAAACATAATTTGGTAACTGAAATTTAATTTGTTGAATGCTTGAATTAAATTGTTTAAAAGTCATTAAATGTTTTAAATATTTACTACCTCGATATTTTCAGGTGGATCCTGGGTATTGAAATGTTTAGATCAGACCAAGTTTCTCATTTAGATAGAGGCATGTTGATTTTCTTACTTATTACTTAAAAATGTGAATGGTTATATATAGCCTACATAGATTATTAATTTCAAAACGATGTTGGTATTGCGTTATTAGTATCAGCAGAGTTTACAGTCAAATGAGTAAATTACTGTTAATATTGTGGTATTGCAAAATGTATCGGTTACATTTCATGTTACAGATCATTTTTTAATCTATGGTCTATAAAGTTTATGGATATTATTCACAATCCTTATCTGCATCCTTAAACATTCACTAATCCCAACTCTTTAACCCTAACAAAAGGATACGCCTATCCTTAAACTTTGTAGACTATAGAGCATCAAAAATTGTATCTTTTTTCAAGGGTTATGTTCAAACCTGTTAACCAACCTAATGTCTGAAATCTCACAAATTCTATTTTCAATCATATTTCTAAATGCTAGCATTTGGCCTATATATGGTCATTTTTTTTCAGTTTGATTTTTAGATTCAGAAACCACATCAGAAAAAAAATTATGGACCCTTAATGTGGAAACCTGGACTTGTTATTCTTGTCGATCTGAAGTGAGCCAGGGTAGATATTACGACCGGGACTTCAGCTTGCGATGTTGATAATCTAATATTCTTTGTGATTATTTATAACAAGGGTGATTGCAATTATGAATATAATTATATATGCAGTTTTTCCCGGTGTCATGTGCAAACTTTCAGAATTGTTCAAAATTTAAAATTAAAATGTAATTAATGACCGAATTCTTTTTCAATTAATTTTTCTGGATTTAAGAGATATTTAACAGTGATTTTGTTAATAGAATATCGGACATCATTTACGTGTATTGTATTTGTGACAAAAATAAATGTTTCGTTTTTTGTTTTGTTTTTATATTATTAGTCATGGTTACATATTTGTGGTATAGCCTGAACAGACGACACGCCTTTATGGACGAGTCGATGGGTTTTCTAAGCCTGCCTCTGTGTAGCCTCCATCATTCAGCACGCCTTTGTCTGCGACAAAAGTCGAAGTCAGTAGAAGTCTGGGTGTCAGAGTCTTTCTTAAGGGGATATTAAAAGTCCAGCTTTGCTGAAATCTTCGTATTCAAAAATTGTGAAAGCAGAGGGTTTTTTTTACGTTACAAATTACTTACCAATGATTTTACCAAGCAAAGAACTGGATTTACCCCTTTGTCTGCATTTTTTGTATCTATTTATGAGTGTATGACTGTATTATATTTTGCAGATACGAAACTAACTATAAACAGCTTTATCAGAGAAGACGCAACATGGCGCACTCCACAGAATTTTATCTCCGATATTATGTTGGTCATAAAGGCAAATTTGGGCATGAATTTTTAGAATTTGAATTCCGTCCTGATGGTAAGTATTTGATGGATAAATTGCTAGACTATAACCCCCCAAAAATATGATAATACCTGATGTTACATTAAAATAGCGAAAGCAGAGTAAACCTCTACTGCTCTTGCTTGCTTTGTCAACAGATCGATGCCTTGTTGGAAATGGAAAACGTGTTTGCTGAAGTATGTTAAACGTTTTTCTTACGTTAACTTGCACATGATTATACAGAGATAGTAGGTAAATTGACATGTTATTTTGCATCCAATGCGTAGTCTTTGTTATGAATTCTCAGTTACTTATTGATAGGCTATTGAATTGTTCAGCCTGTGTCGATTATTCACTAATCGAAGTACTGAAAATTATAAGGTGTGGTTGACTCCTGATAAACATTTCAGTCTCGCAACAAGAAAGAAAAAATGTGATAAACCTTTGTCAACACTCATTATTAGAAGTAGAATCTAGTTCATTAATGGTTTTAAAATTATTTATCAACTTGTATGTATTTGTCAATACCCTCCAGTGCCTTAGTTGGCATTCAGTTGCTTAATTCAAAACATGTAATTATTTTTCTTGCAGGAAAGTTACGATATGCAAATAATTCCAATTATAAGAATGATACCATGATCAGAAAAGAGGTATGTACATTATTTTGTATGCTTGAAATAACATAAGTAGAATACAGAAACAATACAGCTTATTTGGAAGGAAGTGAATATGGTCATCTGATTTTATTTTAAAATGTTACCAAGTCGAACTTGTAGGATTTTTTCTTCTTGTCAGGCTTTTGTTCATAAATCTGTAATGGAAGAATTAAAGAGAATAATAGAAGATTCAGAAATTATGCAGGAAGATGATACATTGTGGCCCTCACCAGACAGAGTTGGAAGACAGGTAAAATATATATTATTGAGTAGTGTTGTAATTTGTAATGTGAGATTTATAGACATGACACAAATCTAGTAGCAAGTTGTCAAAAAATAACCATTTTGTTACAAACAAATTCAAACTAAGATGCTTAACTTTGTGATCAAAGTCAAAATTATAAGGAAATCAGTAGTGAGATGTTAGCTTGATATATTATTTTTGTAGGAATTGGAAGTGGTAATTGGTGATGAACACATTTCTTTCACAACTTCTAAAATTGGTTCATTAGTTGATGTTAATCAGAGCAAGTAAGTAAGATAAAAGTTTAAGCATTGAATTATGTCCCTTTATCCATTGACAAACAGAAAAATGTGATTTTAAATGGTCGTAATATTCTTTGAAAACCTAATTACAGTTTAACTTTTTTGTATTTTTCAGAGATCCTGAGGGTTTGAGAACATTTTATTATTTGGTTCAAGATTTAAAATGTCTCGTGTTTTCTTTGATTGGATTACATTTCAAGATCAAACCAATTTGAAATTGGCAATATCTTTTATCAGTGTATTTTTGTTATATGTAATCTTGTTTATCATATGTATATATAATATCATGTATTTTAGAAATAAAGAATAGAACTTCTTTGATTTAAGATAAAGTTTATGACCCTTGTGAAAACACATAAAATTGTTTATTATTTCATTTGTAGAATGGCTTTTGATAATCAACAAATGATAAATTCCCTTAAGAAATAGATAATTGACTTCGTTCATATTTCATGTGTACATTATTTTATGAGAAATAAAATTTAACATACTTATATTTCATTTGTTCAATGAGAATATATAGGTCCAAGTCTGAATTTATTATCTTCTAATAATACAAATTGTCTAATAGCTATGTACCCTGTTCACAACCAGTCAGACTCAAATTCATATAAAATTTTGTTCATGTTTTTCTTTGGGTAACTATAGGGATCCTTGAACTGAAGAGACTGATTACCACAATTTAGAGATCACTATATTAGTCAAACAAACGCTCTCTTCCGTAATAGCCTTTTTGAGCGCGATTCTGACAAATTCACCCCTCATTGGTCTAAGCATTGAGAATGCCACTTGCACCACATGGTTCTGGTGTCTAAGAAAAGGAAAAACCAGCAAAATTATGATTGTTGGAGTAGCTCAAGGATCTGAAATATAAAAAAATGACACGTATACCATATTTATCACAAGATTACAAATTTTCATAGAGACCTTTCAATTTTGACGAGAAGTAACCAGGCTTGGAAGTCTTGAGTTTACTTAAGCCTATACAAACGATAATAATCCTCAAATGAAAATGTTGGGTATTAACGAATCAATTGAAACCTACTGGTGACCGGAATACCACTGTCAGAAAAAGCAAATTTAACAAATGAAATCAGAAATGATCAGTTATAATTTACGAAAATCCGAAGTCTCTTCAAATATCAGATTGCATAATAAAATGGCGCGAAATTTCAACCAATCAAGGGAGTAACATCCCCGAACGGCTTGATTTCGGCAGACAATTTTTATTTTATTTTATTGAAGGTTACGGTAGTGGTATTAACCTCACGATAACTTGTACGCTCACTTGTGTTTGGAACAATAAATCATATAATAAAGAAAATGATATTTATGTCGACAAAGGCATTCTATATCATGTCAATATATCTCCTAGTTAGCCCAACTTTCACATAAATAGGTGAGTTAAAACTATGCCTCAACACGCATTTACATAACTTTTTATTTTAAAATATTCCTCAGAAACAAACCAGAATAGTAATTGAATAAATAAAATTAATATATTTATTAACAAATATACATCCATTAGTCATGGAGTGACAGATGAAATGTGTTCTATAAGACCGTTCCCTTCAGTTGACACAGGCTACAACAATTCATCTCCAAGACAACACCGGACAAAAGAGAGTAGTTTGTTATTGAAAGTCGAGCGCAAATAGGCATTTTTCAATATGGCGATGACGGAACAAACAGGATCAATATGTGACGGCAAGGAATAGAAGCCTTGTGCCTATAGGCACATTAGATTTAAGGTAAAATTATACAATTTTTGAAAAGATTAACGAAATCATTATTAAGAAAACAATATCAATCTCATCCTAAACCAAAAACTTTCTAGCTTGTACTCTTAATTTCACAGATAACGATATTTTTTTAAATTGGGTTGTCTGAATAGCAATAATGTTGTATTAAAATTTGATTTCCAAAAATGATTAACAAGAAACTATGGCTGGGAGCTCTTTAGAAAGTTAAGATTAGCGGAGAGGAATTATCCAAGAATATCATAATGGTTGTCTTGTGATGATGATTAGAAGAGTCATTCATTCCGCAATAGTCTTAAATAAAAACCAAGCTAATACATGTACGAAAATTTCTACAAATGATTTACCATTTTCATTAATATATGCCCAAAATTAATAGATACATGTACATAAAGCGATAACAATTATTGTGGGTAGATTTCTTTTTTGGATTGGTTGGAGGTCAAATTTCAAGGTCAAATAATGAGAAACCGTTGATGAGACCAGAAGACGCGTATTTTGTATAGGATTTTTTTCCTATTTCAGATATTCTGTGGTAGTGCTTCTTTAGTCAGTTTGTAAATAGTCAAGACATTATAACTAATAACAGTGCCAATATGACAACATATCTATATACTTCATCAGGACCTTATTCCTGTCAGGCTTGTAATATGGGATTCTCCAATACAGCTTTATTGGCAAAACATAAAGCTCGCTTCTGTATCGGGGATGCTGGTGATATGGTGTTAATCAGACAGTGTAAGAGGTGTAGAGAACACAAATGTTCCTGTGAAGAAGTTCCAGAGGTTAGTTGAATGTTTTTTTTTTATTCGTTTGAGAATGATACCAGAATTTCCTGTTGATTGCGAGCAATTGCTTCTATATCCTCAGATGTTTTGTCATCAAGGGAGTTGTTATTTGAAATCTCACATAATTTACTATCTTCATTTTTGGCACATTTGTAGATTCCCATGGTAGAATCAAGCAACAATGACATAAATGAGGTATATTTGAATAAGAATGTTCACAGCCATTCATAACCACTGCCAGGCACAACTCTCTCTTATCACTACCATCCACAATCTCCTTTCACTTCTTCCAGACACAACATTATTGCATCACTGCCAGACACAACAGCCTAGCATTATTGCCAGACAGAACATCCTTGCATCACTGTCAATGCCAAACACCCCATCCTTGTATCTGTCAATACCCCCCCTCCCCCAAAACACTTCGAGACAAAATCCCTCTCATGACTACCAGATACAACCTCCTTTCATCTCTACCAAACATAACCTCCTCTCAACTCTACCAGGCACAACCTCCTCTCATCACTTCCAGACACAACATCCCCCATGACTACCAGTCTACCCTCTTTTAATCACTTCCAGACACAACATCCCTACATCTCTACCAGACACATCCTCCCCTCAACTCTACCAGGCACAACCTCCTCTCGTGACTACCAGACACAACCTCATCCCATTTCTACCAGACATAATCTCCTCTAATTACTTCCACACACAACCTCCTCTCATCCTGACAAGACGCAACCTCTCCCGATGACTACCAGACACTATCCCCTCTAAACACTTTCAGTCACAAGAACCTCTCATTACTTCCAGACACAACCTCCTCTCATCTCTACCAGACACAACCTCCTCTCATCTCTACCAGACACAATCTCTCTCATCTCTACCAGACACAACCTGCTCTCATCTCTACCAGACACAATCTCCTCTCATCTCTACCAGACACAGCCTCCTCTCATGACTTTCAGACATAACATCCCATCTTCTCTACCAGACACAACCTCCCCCTGTCTGTACCAGACACAATTTCCTCTCATCTCTACCAGACACAACATCCTCCCATTTCTACCTGACATAACCTCTTCTCATCACTACCAGACACTACCTCCTCCCATCTCTATCAGACACAATCTCCTCTCTTCAGTTTAAGACACATATTTCATCTGTTAAACCTAATTGACATAATGAATATACCACAGAGATAATGATAAATATGTGGACTCCTCCAAGTTAACATATCCAATCTTAGTATGCCATCAGGTGTTCTGGAAGGGAGAGCATGCTCTGTATTACTATCGGGATACAATACTATTTTGGGCATGGGTGCAATGAATTTAAACAGAACGGTTACTACAAAATTTGTTACTTCTATGTATTTGATATAACAGTAAATACATAGATTATCTGAATGATAAATGTGCATTTTTTAGCTATATCTATGACATTTCGATTTTATATTGACTTTTTGACTTGAAATAAATCAGAGATTTATAGTATGCTAGATTAAACTAATCATAAATTATATGAAAGGTGATCATATTTAGTCAAACATACACAGTGAATAATAGTTGCTAGGCCAAATATTTTATATAATACATATTTATATAGACCAAGTATTGCTATGAAGATTTTTATTGAATGTTGAAATATATTGTTTATTTAACTGCTGGCTTCTATTGTCTTCTCTTAGTATATTAGTATGTCTTGACATCTTTTGTGCATTCAATTTGTCAGATATTGAAAAGATCTCCATTAGAGGTATAAATATGACTGTAGTGAGATGGTAGCTAGGGTAAACAAACCATATAAGAAATGAATTAGTATTCTAAGGGTGTTACTCAGGGAGTGTTAATGGCTCTATTGTCATAAGACGATATCTCTCTACCTTTCTTTTTATTACTTGATTTTCTCATTTCTATGGGTTTTGTTTGCTGTCATTGTTATTTGAGTCATATCCAATATCTTAGTTATTGGAATGCTCAGTTTGTCAGGCCTCAAATAAAGAGATCTACTAAGAGGAGTTATAAATTTGATTTTGCTAGTGCGTGTTAATTGAACATAGAGTGCAAAAATAATTGATTTGAATCAACAAAGCATCTGTTTTTTTGGAGCAACAAGTGATATATTTAAGGGGAGTTGTTATCGTAAAGAAAAGAAGAATATTCTGGTAGGATGAGGAAGAAATTTGTGAAAATGGAAATATCAGATGATCCAGAGTTGTCAAAAATGTGTACAAGATGCTTCAAAGAAAATCTGAAGCATTGTGAGAATTCCTTTTGAAATGCAGTTGCAGACCAAACCTGTAAAAAGTATCTAGAAAACCCAGAAGATGAAACTTGGTTCTAAGTATGCTGACACCATATCTTCAAAATGAGTAAACAAATAGAAGAGTTGAGAGCCCTGAAAGATCGAAGATCAAGAAATCGTGAAGTACGAGATTTTGAAGAAAGGATTTTGTTGGATAATCTTGAAGAAACAGAGCGTATGTTAAATGGAACTCCTATTAATACACATCGTAAAAAATTTCCACTATCAAAACATGAAGATCTGAGACAGCTTCAAGTAGAGGTAAGTTACAATTTCAATAAGTTTGTTTATGAATGGGACAATGAAATGAAATATCATTATCAAGTTTTTATGATAGCTATGTAGACTCTACAAAACTAAACACGAGGTGATATTAGGTGTTGTATGCCCTGGCTTTCTGCAATTGAAGTATGTTTAATCCATAAAATGTGAAAAATATATATCCACAACATTGATATGAAACTTGCTCTTGGTATTAATGTTCTCAATTTCATTTGACTTAAAGAAAATGTAATAAGAATATCTAATCTGCCGTTGGTTGATATTTGTTGTAATTCATTTCAAGCAATAGGCTAAGAGGTAGAAATCTTTAAGATTAATCTGAACAATTATGTCCTTTTATTTCAGTATGAGCGAATGAGAGAGGAAGAAAAGAGACAGTGTCAGGATGTAGGTCGACCAAGACGCAGACAATCTAATCGTAGTGATGAAAGTATGAGTATACATCTAATTAGAGATGTAAGTGAGGAGGTTCAATGGAAATAATTCAATTGTTGTATATCTAATAAATTATGTTATAATCAATTGTATATATGTATTATTTTTTTTTGTGTATTTTTATTCCTTAATACTCTTTCACCACAAATTGAATTGAAAATTTACATATACATTGCATACATGAGAGTGTAATATCTCTTACTCTTGACCCTAGCACAATTCTATAATCTAACTATAATCCCAACTTTGATAATTTCATTTTAAGCTGTTAATTAATGGAACAATCATAAATGTTATGTATAAATAACAACGTTTTAAAAAGTTTTCTGTATAGAATAACTTGTTTCATAAAAAACGACTAGAGATAACAGGTTATTATGTGTTTTGATATAATTAAGAATTAAAGCTATTAGAAACACTGTAAAATTAAATATTTTATTTTTTGTTTCTATAGTGTGTTTCATTGTTTGTATTGTGCATTCTTTTTTATTTATCTTGTCTTTTTTAACAGCGCAGTAAATATAATCCTAACAATGATCCCAAACTTCAATCATTAGCAGCTAATCATGGAAAACAGATGGAATTTTTGTCCAACAGAAATAAAGATTTGGAGAGACAAAGAGATGGTAAGTATTTTTCAGAATCATGGAATTTTAATCACTTACACATTTTGATTTAAATTTGAAAAATTTTGATTCTAAATTATTATACTTGGGATAATTATTTGCTGCCATATCGATATCTAAAAAGCATGATATTTTCTGTTTCCAGAGATCCGAAGGCGTTTGGGTGCATTGGGAAAGAAGCCAGCAGATACAGACAATACATCAGCATTACTAGCAGAACTCAGAGATCAGGAAGCAAGAAACCAAAGATTATTAGATGAACTTAAAAAACAACTTTTGGCTTCCAGACAACCTGTTGCTATTATGTAAGTAAAAATATTTGCACATGTGAAACTTCTTCCTTTTTTGAACTCTAAATTTCATCTATAAATGGCTGCATAGCTGTGGCTGATCTAATCTGTTGTAACAGCTTTAAATTTTATCATTTGAATAAAGATTTGAAAGTAGATGTTTATGTCAAATTTTACTCCTTGTTTTGTACAAAATGATTCTAAGATGATCTTGATCTATAATGTTCAATAATTGATTATAAACTTTAATTTGATATTTTCAGTGGAGAGCAACAACAAGTTCAGCAGAAGAAAACCTACACTTATCCTGTATATTATGGGAATTCATTGGTAGCAGAAATCAGGTAGGTTCAAAATGTTTTTCAATTTCTTAGCTGAAAAGAAAGATTATTAAGATTTATGTGACATGTTTGATTTATTGAATTTATTAACAAGAGTCTACATGAATAAGTGTATTTTATTTTCTAGTGCTATTCGACAAGCTTACATACAGAGTGGTGGAAATGATCCTGAAATCTTGGCTCAACTGGCTCAGATGTTAGCAGAGGCTCAAGCAATTGAAGAAGCCATGAGGAACAAAAGGCCACCAGAACCAAAGAGAAAAGGTAGAATATTTATGACAATTGACCTGACTTATAAATCTGGTAGAAATCTTTCTTTGCTTTCCAGAACTTCACATAACTGAACAATCATAGCAAAAAAAAGTTTATTGTTTATTTTTTTTTTCAGAGAAAAAGACCACTGAAGTCACATCTCATGTAATGACAATGGATATGGAGAATGAAAGATTAAACAGGGAACTCTTGTTACTGCAAGAACAGAATCTTATGGCTCGTAACAGACGTAAAGATGATAGAGAAGGTAGGCTGCCATCATTAAGGCTTGGTCTTGGAGGAACACTTGGATCTGGTCTTGGATTTCTAGGAAGCACTTCACGATTAGGAATGTCTGGACTAGGTACTTCAGGTCTTGGGTTAACTGGAACAGGTTTAACCTTGGGTCAGTCTTCCAGATACAGTTCCTTGCACAAACCTCTTTATGGTAGCTCTACTTTCAGTTCTAATCCTCTGTATAAATCTATTTTAGAACAATCTGACAATAATAATATAAATGTAGGGCTATTAAATTCTATGACAGGTCGGGCTTCTGTTTTGGGTCGACCTGGCACAGGATTAGGTTATAGATCTTATAGACCTGGATTGTCTTATAGAAATTCTTTTTTAGGTGAGGGTGGCCAAACTTCTGTCTCCAAGTATGGTCTAAACCCTTCAATCAGGGACTCTTTAGAATTGCGTAATAATAATAATCTTGTTGATATTGGCACAAGCCCAATTTCTTCCTCTCGATTAGCTAGGCCTCTTACTTCCTTGGGATTGCGAAGTCCAGTTATTGTTGAACCCAACCAACGAAAGCCATATCCATTAGACAGTGTTCTACCACCAGATACAATCAATGTTTCTTCTAATACTCCATATCAGGCATCTTACATAAGTTCGTATCCTCATTCAAAGATTGAAATTGAACTGAGAGATAGCTTTGAAAATTTTGAGGAACCATATGAATATAATGAAACACATCCAACTGTTCCTAAATTAAAATTGCATACTGATCCTCCTCCTGAAGATAAAGAGTCAGACAATCTAAAAGAAGAGGAAAAACTGCCTTCTCCATCCAAAGATAAAAAGAAGAAAAAACCTAAACCGTCTCCCAAAAATCGTCCTGAAACAAGAAATTCTGACGGTAGTAGATCATCAATTGTAGAGCCTAAACCTTTAAAGTCTGCATTAAAAAACTCTAAAACTTTAGAGCCATCTTCACCCTCTGATCTCAATAATCATCCTTCAAATCTAAAATCATTTGCTGGACCTGATGATTATGAGGTCTATGATTCTGATGTGATATATGACCCAGTTCCTGATACTGTACAAAATCCTCCACCTAAAAAACCTTTATATACACCCAAAGTCTATGAGCAGTTGAATACTCAAAAAATAATTCCTATTGATTCTGCTAGACCTTTGCAAAGTACAAATCAGTTTTTACCCATATACTCTGCTCAGCCATATGTATCACCAGTTCCTATACAAACCACAACTCCAATTGTGTCATCTGTTCCTCAATATTATATACAGCCAATCACACAGCCTACCTATATTCCTCCTGCTAACCCAGAAACTTATGCAGTACCTCCTAAAACAGGAGACACAGATCCTACACCCAATACTCAGTCAACTCAACCTCGCGTTACATACTTACCTATGTCTCATCCTGACATGTATCAACCACCACCAACTACTGCTGTTTCTAGCGCAGCTTCCACTCCCACTTCATCACAGAGAAATTCACGTCTGAGATCACATCGACACAGACCTGGAGTCAGTCCCATACCAGAAGAAAGTCTTTCAGCTCGCCCTGCACCGGTTGGCGATTCAAGTCCTTCACCTTTTGATACTACTCTTGATTCTCAAGAACCAAGACGAGTTCTCCATTCTTATCCTAAACCACCATCTGACCCCAATGATCCATACAATTATTATGCAAGAAGTGGCTGGCCCCCAGTACAACATGAAAAATTGCACAAAGATCATAAAAATTACCACCCCCTTAATCCTGATAATTCTACAGACGATGGGCAAAATCAAACTCCTCGTCCAAAT